AAAAAAAAAAGTCATCGACTAAGTAGTATTATTTTCATACGCGATTCCTATTTGATTCGTTATCTCAAAAAGTTGTCTTCCTCGTAAATACGTAAACGTGATACGTAAATCGTAATTCATTTGGTGCATCGTGTCTCGTGAGAAGTTGTTCGATTTTGAATCTACAAAATTACGTGCCACCTTTTGTTTTCTTTCAATGGAATCTCACTGTTTTGTTGTTGCATTATCTACGACACTATGTTCACGAGAAACATAGGAAAGAAACGTTCAAAAAGAATTTCAATGTCTTTTTTTTTTTTTACGTAATTGGAACTGAATGATATTTTGTTATTTTCCACGTCGTCGATTTTGAAATCGATTGACGTTGTGTGTAAAAATTAAAGAAAAATCGGAAAACTGAACGAACACGAGTCTGTACATTTGTTGAAAGAGTTTCAGTTTGCGAGTCAGGGCAAGCGTTTTCGAGCGATAATTTTTCTGTATATAGTCATTACATGTTTGTTTGTAGTCCGCGTCGACGGCAGTAATTCGCAAAACTTCGACAAAGAAACATCGCAGCGATCGGACCAAGGACAAGATAACAATACGAAAGGGCAACGCGAGTAACCTAAGTACGGATAGACTTGTTACAATTTTAGAAAGACTTCGATTTTCGTACATCGACGAAACTTCTTACCAAAAAGATCGGATCCTTTTTGAGAGAACAACGTGCTCTTTTTTATATGTATACATATGAAACATGCAATACCAATAGGGGCTTTTGGGGTACATTTCTATTTCAACCCCGCGAAACTAACAAGTCTGATTTTGTATTTTAGGAATGGACCTAAGCTATTGATTAGATTATTTAGGAATTTGTTGAAAATTGCCGGGTCGTTGATGAAATTCGTGTTAGTTCTCGATGTGTAGACCAGAGAAAGCGAAACGATTAGACAAGAGTTCGTTGTATAGTAGTCGATGTTTTCTAAGCTTTTGTATTTTTGTAAATATTCAGTATCGATGTCTCGTTCTTGTCGACGGCGGCAGCCTTACAAGAATTAACAGTTCAGTTAATATATTACAGCGTCCTTAATGTCACATGTATTAATATATTAAAAAAAATATACCGAATAAACATGAAATTCAAATTCAAAATCAGTGGCATTCTTTAAATTTCAATTTTCTTCCCTTACTAATCGAAGATTGTCAAAGAATAACGATAATGTCATTCGAGCCTGTGCTGTGTAGATACCGTTGTCGATAAAGTCGATATCCATAATACCTACAAAGTTTAAACACCGAACCTCGTCTGTGATTTAAACAAACGGAAGGAAAGATATGAGAAAACTTCCAAATATAAATATGTATTTATCACGGCTACACGCTTGAACTTTCACAAACTCTACAATAATCTCTCGTGCGGACAAGGTATTATACTCTCAAGGTCGCTTGTATAATAATAATGAGGGTATCGCGTTGGTGGCAAAAAGCAAGAAATTTTTTGCCGCGCTTTTGATTATTTCAACCCACAAAGGTGGCGCTGTCCATCTCATGGAAACGTACCTTTCGACGAAACGATTGAACGGAAGCAGATGTCGCTCCAATACACTGGTGGAAGTCTGTAGCGATCTATTTATTGCTATTGCTATATATATAGCGACATCTGTTGCTATTCAATTGTCTTATCAAAAGTTACCACGGAGATACTAACAAATTATTGATTACAAAGTTACTAACAAATTGCCAAGGATATATATAACAGTTATTAAGAAATTAACAAACATTTGTCATTCATCCATTATACTCTGTATTATGTAAACGTTAAGATAAAGTATAAAATTTTCTCTTGTAAGTGACTACTGTTATCGTTAACTATAAGTCTGTAGATACGATGATCGATAAATAATAAAGTCATCGTACTACAAAAAAAAATTTTTCAATTTATTTTAACGTTTACATGATACAGAATTTAATCCATTAATTATGACTGACGACTGTTTATTAATTTCTTATTTACTGTTATATATATTCTCGGCAATTTGTTTGTAACTTGGTAACCAATAATTTGTTGTATCTTCATGGTAACTTTCTATAAGACTGAATAGATGTCGCTATAAGTCTACAGCTAGTGCTGCCATCTTTCAGTTACAAGAAAAAATGTTAAAGGAGAAAATCCGACAGATGGCAGCACTTTCTTTGTCCATAGACAAGGAGCGCAATAGTGTGCGAGAAAGATGGACATATCCCGTGCGATAGACAAGGTGAGCAACAGAACGTGACAAGGACAGAAATAGCGATTAATTCCACCATTTCGCCACTACGTGACGCTAGCATTTTATGGTTCATAAATCGAACAAATTATTTGCAAACTTCTGCAATTGTTTCTATCGAACTAAATCCTCAGCTTTGTTCGTACATGTCTTTTGATCTTTAAAACGCATGTACGTAAGTTTACAAATTCTGCTCTATAGATCGAATATTTAACTATAAATTTCGAAATTCAAAATCTGGAGCTTGATGACTATAGTTTTGAAATACATAGAATACCAATTAATTGATATTAAAATAGATATTAAAAACATCTAAGAAATATTTGCAATAATCAATAACATCGGGGGACTGTTTTCATACATATTTATTAACTTACATAAATTGCTATAATAATCTATAGATCGCTTTAAAAATACAATACATTGAATAAAAAACGTTCATTGTATATTTACAATTCATAAATTTGAATCTTGTACAATACGCAATTGCATCTCAGTCAACGTACGTTTTTGATTTAAAGAAATAGGTATATACAATGTTCAGAAGTGTTTTCTATACTTTAATAAGTACAGAGAATTTATTAAAACTACATGATGACCACTGCCGTATTAGCATATATTCGTTCGTTATATAGAAATCAATTGTAACATCCGCTAATTCCAATACTTGGATAATTTTTAATAAAGAAATCTTTACAAATGCAATGACCAACCAATGTAACAAAGTTACATTACAGAGAAACAACACGACAATGGTCAAATACACGTGATATACTAATTGCAATACAGGCTGAAATATATTTTTGGGAATACAAATTTTTTAATAATATCACAGCGTTGGTTTCTCATCCGTTGGTTCCTCCTTTATGGGATGATTACACTCCATTAATGCAGGATTTGCCACAGCGATTATGTTGTCGCCCCGCGAAGCTATTACCTACATTTGGATCGAATTGAGAGTTAAATTGATTATTGGTAGATATTTAATTACTCATTTTGTATTTACTCAAATTGATATCACTGTGCGTATATTTTCATTATTTATTAATCATACAGATAATAAATCGATTTCAAATGAAATTTACTACCTTAAGATTGAAATCACTTTCCTTGTCCGTATTATCTGCTTCAACTTCGTTAGTGTCCTGCAAACGATCAGTTTTGTCAACCTTCGATCAATCAAGATACATACCTACATTAGAGCAATTCATTCGCTCACGTGTATCGATGAAGACTCCTCGTTCGAGAATGAGAGTTGACTATCAGAGTCGCTGATCTCCTCGATACTCGCACTGAACATACCATTGTTATTCTTCTTCCTCCAAACTGGACTAAAACAAATGCAAATGTCTGAACATCAATATATACTTGCAGAATGAGTTCTTTTTTTTTTTTTGTAAATTACCAGGTCAATAAAGTTTATGATAGGCAATATAATTAAGATTTTGACAATAGAATGTTATGTATTTTATCTATTTACAAAGGAATATGTACTGAAATCCATTTGAGCTCAAAGTAATCACCTTGAAGATCTATGTCTTCTGATTGTCGAGTTACTTATGTCCATTTCAGGGCAACGTAGATCCAACTCCTCCTAGAACAGTGAACTGCTACAGACAGTAGAAGTGACAGATGTAACGTAGAAAATGAAAGTCACAGAAGAGTTGATAACTGATTGATTACTATACTATACACAACTCGTAAGGACGCCAGGAGCAAAGCATAGAGTCCCAACGAGTGTGGTAGAAAACAGCTCGTTTTAGATAGTAATTTCATATTTTGTCGTTTTTTTCTAAAAAAAATTTGTTAAACTGATAAACATAAAGATATACAAACATCAATGCAAAAGCCATGCATGCATGTTACGCAAAAGCTATACTTGACCTTTTCCGCCTGTGCTTCACGTATATCAATTGTAGTGGTAGTTTACGTGTTGCAATTGTTTACGTGCTGGGTGCATAGTTAGTTGTTAGCGTTCATGCGAGTGCAGCAGCTCGTTAATATGCCAAAAATTCCAGATCAAATCACAACTATGGGATTCCATCAAGAATTTTGAAATGATCTTTATCTTCAAACTATGTACTTTTTAAAGTATTTATGAATTACTTTAAAAGATCGTAATCATTACCTAATGATTTCTTTCAATTATTGATCATAAAAAATATATAAGTATTGTTTCAACTTATGTACGTTAAAGAGGGAGCTTTTTTAATAATTTTTCTCTAAGTTGATTGAATTTTTAAATAAGATCTTTAACATAATTTTTGATATAACATAATTTAGATACTGATGAAAAAAATCTCTCCCTATCTAATTTTTTATTAATCGTATAATTAACATAGGTCGCATTTAATTCATGCGAAAATCCCTGACTTTATCCCAAGTTTATGATGATTCTGAACTGGAATCACTTGTACATGGCTTATTATTATGGTCGACGTGAGCTAACCTGCGTCGCATCTTCGTTCTCACCCTCAAGCTCGAGCTTTTGCCGTTTTGTACGCTCGGATTCGTTTTCTTCGCCGTTTTCACGTGCTCTCGACACAGACAAACTAAAGCATTTCAAATATAAGTATGAGACGTCCTAATTCAGCTTAGAAAATTACACGTAAATTTGATTAATCGTCTACAATCGTGTAACGTGATATGATATTACTTCTGTTTATACATCCGTATCTTCTTAAATTAATAAATTTAACAAGTACAAGAAAAGAATTTAACAAATACAATGTATCATTTAAGAAAAAATGCACAAATATCTGTAGCTTTGTTACCTACTGCCTCTTTTAATTCTACCACCTACATCAATAATCTCCAATATTTCCATCTTAAATAAGTCAACAATATTTTTAGATAAGAAACTGAAGATACTTACTAATGATTTTTTGAATAATGATACCCAGAATCTCTCACAACACGCCGGGCCAAAGGAAAAAGTTCATCTCTTCTAGTAAGTAGGGCAGGTACGAACCTGCAAATTTGTGCAGCAGCCTCGTTCACTGACACCTCGTGCAGTGTCAGTGGTTTCTCTGGTTTCCTCTTACAGTCAAATCTTCCATAAATTGCTGCGTACTTTCGAATTTCCTCCATTCTACGTGGATCGCTATCAGGCATAGCCATCACCATCTGCAATTGCATAAGATTGATAAAGATTTGTAAAACATTGCAACGCACAATTATAATATGCAAACGATGATATTCACTTCTAAATTTTTGCAAATCTTTTTCTTAACATTATGAGGTTTTGGGTCCACGGGTCGAATAGTAGCTGCAAGTCTCTCAGCCGCCTCTGCAAGTCTTTGTATCTGAGATTGCAACAGGGTTGGCGTGGGTTGCGTTGGACTCGCAGGTGCACCACCACCGCCACTAGGACTTGGCGTTGTACCGCTTCCACAAGACGACTCGCATGTTCCTACCTGAAAGCAATAACATTTATCCAATTAATTCGTTCGCACAAAGTACTTTGAAACTATTAACACTAGAACTACCAAAATGATCAAAATGACCATTTGAATATTTTTATCATATATTATATATTTATTATTATTATATAATATATATTATATATATTACACATTTTATTATACTACAGATATAAAACAGTGTATTTTTGGAGACTTGAACGATCCTTTGTAAAATACATAAAATACATAAATAAAAGCTTAATCTACCCTATTGTAGTTTTCTGTAGTCCTCTGTAAGTGTTGAAAAAATTTAATAATTTTCATAAATCTTTTTTAAAAACCATAGTACCATTTGCGTTGTATATTTCTTTTATAGTGTACTTGATCTTTTTCTTGTCACAGGTAACAATTTTCTATACAATGTTAATTAATCTGTTCTTGGTTCTATTTCACCAGCAATGGAGGAGTGTTTGAAGATCTAATGAAACGTATGCAGATCCCTCTTTGAAGAACTGAATACAGTGCTTTCAAGTAAGATGGTCCGTTTACTCAAAAATTATAGTTTCCAATTTCAAATCAAAAATGATGATAAAATTATTGTTTTTTTTTGGATACGTGGCTTCGTTTCTAATACATGTGAGATTACTTAATCAAGATACTACTAGGGTGAGCCAAAAACCTACTGAAATAAATCTGTAATTCTTTTCAATCTTTTTCTTCTTACAGATTAAAGTGCACTGGTTTAATTTAAAATTAATCAAACTTAGTTTTTTTCTTATATTTTGATGTTTTATTTAAAAAAAAG